GGGGGGGGGGGGGGGGGAAGGGGGGTCGGATTAGACGAGTGCCAGCACGTTTTCAACCAATTGTTGTAGCTTGCCCCACTTCAATGATCAATGGAGAACGGGCTGACGCTGCGCCAAACCCTGTTTCTCTGACACATCCCAGCATCCATTAGCAAGACTGTACGTGGAGGTGTACTTGTCATCTTGCTCAAGAGAAGTCCCCGACTCTCCAGTACTCAATGCGTCAACAGCTAAAAGCCTCACCCCTTCAAATTGAGCCGTTGTGTTGGAAACTTCTTTCATTTCCTTGAAAATTACCCAGCATGCAAGTTCCCATATTGGATTATCATGTCGTCAGCTCTGAGACCTCCTAGAGCAGCCGGTGAGTTGGGAATAACTGTTGTAACCTTAAGTGGACATTTCAGTATTGCACACTTACAAGAAATAAAATTGAATCCTTCCTCAGCACACTCACTTTTATGAACGGCTTATTTGAGGTTCGATGAACAAGCGGAGGGGGATCGGGCTGAAACACGTGAATATTTTGAAGTGGTAATCACACTTTGAGAAACTTTACAGGTTATAAGTACCTTTTTGGGGACTTCGCTACTGCCAGGATTTGTATTTTCTGCTTCTTCTCCTTCAGAGTTCGACTCTGATTCCGACTTCCGTATTCGATTCTCCGCATGTGACCGTTCAATGGCTTTTTCTATTTGCTCCGTTAGAGCTTTGCGGTCATTCCTGAAAATGTTCTCAACATGACAGTATAATAGACAAGTGTGCGCGCATCGTCTAATTGGCCGGCGGGCGGCACAGCTTAGACTGTACACGCTCATCTTTTGTAGCGCGCTAAAAATCTTTGCAGCCCCACTCACTTTGCTACGATTTCGCCAGTTAGTTCACACTAGCGAGAAAACTAGCGAACTCAATGAGAAATGCCCCCCCCCCTCCCAAAGCGAACAGCGCCTGAAAAACCTGGGATAATTGCGACAGAATCGGAAGGTAGCAGTCGGCATATCGTGACATTACTCGACCTCTGTCCGTATCCCTCAGGGGGGGGGGGGACAGCAAGAGAATACAGGACTCACGCCCATCCAATGACACCCGCACGACCACGAAAAGTCCAGGGTTTTTCAGAATGTGACCCCCAAATTCCATCCTGTCTTCCATCTGCCTGAATCTTCAGTATTTTCTACATAAGATAAAAGTCGAGCAGAAGGGAGGCGAGTGCATAGCGCCCGTGAGACAGGAGAAAACCAAGAAAAGTCAACAACCAAAAACATTCCTCTCAAAAGCAAGTACGACTCCCTCCCCCTGCTCTGAATGGGCAGAGCCCTTGTTTCAGCTCAAACCAGAAAAACTACTTACCTCAAACAAATTATGTTGTGACGAGCCTGACGGACACTGTACACATCAATATGACTGAACGGGAACCCTTCCCTATCGACGAGCGGCGAGTCCATCGTGGAACCGTTCTGAACAAACAACAAATAACTATCTCTTCAGTGAATTTCCACACGAAAATAGAAGTTGGTCCATACTTCGCGTCAGCGTTCGAGCGTACGGCAACATCCCCAGTGACCAGGAAAGCATAGGTATCGATATAGCCTTCTTAAGTGTACGCTAGCATTTCCAGCGACTATTCGCGAAAAGTTTGAAATATCGCGCGAAACGCTGAAGACGCTGACGTACGCTAGATCTGATACCTATAGTTCTCTAGTCGCTCAAAATGCTGACGCGAAGTATTGAGGTTACGGGGCTGTTGTCAACCAGACGTGCTCTCGCTGCGAGGGTCCAGGGTTATTTTCACGAGGCATCTACCAGTCCAGTAGTTGAAGGGAGAAGGTAAAGGAGGAGGGATCAGAGAAGGAAGGAAGGAAAAGAAGGAGGGAGGAAGAAAAAAGGAAAGAGAGGAGAGGCTTCTCGGTTGACAACTGCCCTGAGACGGAAGTATGAACGGATTCCAGGATACACATTTCCGTAACTGACCTTCTTCAAAACCTCCAAATTATTTTCAATTTCCGTATCAAGTTCGTCTCGTCTGGCGATGAGCCGTTTCGCTTCTTCTTTTGCTCCCATGTTAGAACAGTTCCGCAAATCAGAGAATACCTTCGAGGATTATGGGCCAGGTTACGATACGACTTAGGTAAACTCATCAAATATAAACGCCTCCCACGCTTGAGGACCAACAAGAAAAAGCCGAGAAGAAACAGGCTAAACATTTTATTACGAAATAAAGTAAAAAAAAAATCAAAGGAAGTCCCAAAGGAACGGTTCAGCATAAAAATAACAACAGAAAAAACGATCAAATAATTACAATACAACGACCTTAGACGCTAGACTGATATGTAAACAGCAAGGTCAACGACTGTTGTTACTGTTTTGATGTTTGTGTAATGTCAACTGTAAATAACAATAAACAGTGTATAGTTGTGTGGTAGATGACATCCAGGCGCTTCTATTCGTTCTTGTCTACGTGTTGCGTGTTGCGTGTTTGTGTTGATCAAAAGCCTCGATGACCACCTCGCCCTCCCCGATAACCACTTCCCATACCGCTAAAATACAAATTGGCACTGTTACAATGTGTTATGATTTTTTCGCCCACAGTATAAAGTTTTAGGAATAGTCTCTTCGATTGACTCAACGTTAAAACCTTCAATAATCTACACGTAATACTTAAGACACATGGCAATAAACTTACACGTAATTACTGCCTCAATAACATTGAATCTCCAGCAAGTTCCTAATCCCCTTATAATTTTGCTATCACTGCGCTCTAACGTACTTCAGAGGGGCTTTTCACAGTGTCTCTGCGCCCCTTCCCAAACCAAGGCTTGGCCTTTAGGGTACATCATCGTAGGAAGAACACCAACGGAGCATGCTCTTCAAATTGGAAATGGGCAAGGGATACGTTCGTTAGAGCTACGGAAAGGCAAAAAAACGCCTGGCTTTGCGGGCATATAGGGCTGTGTTCATACTTTGCCGTCAGGCAGTATGCAAAAAACGCGAAACGACAACGTTTTTAGCGTTTGTTCAGCATACGCCAGCGTCCACAGGAAAAGGGAGAGTAACGGTAGTGAGTAGCAAGGCTAGCAAGACTACTGATGTATGTCGTCGTTGTAAATGGCGCGACGTCTGCCACCGTACCGTAATCTGCTTAAGCGTAGAATTATGCAATCTTAGTGTACGCTGCGTTTGCACAAACCGCCTAATCCAGCAGTATGCTATCCACCCATTTCCACATACTTTCCACTCCTGGTGGACGCTGACGTACGACGCAAAATTTGGACGCAACCTAAAGTTGCAAAACAACCCTATCCCGTTTAAATCCCTCCCTCGCCGGCTGGCTACGCCCTGCCAAATTTATTTCACGTTCTTATCCACCAGCTGGGAAACATACACTCCAAAACCCTCGCTTCCAAAAACAAAAATCAACTTGAAGCTCGCAAACATAAAAAAGCGTCCCACCGACTCTCCCTACAATCAAACAGTGCAAGACTAACCCGGTATGACCTGAACTATTTGCTGTGCCCAGTAAACTAGCGAGGAATATGGTTTCAGTTTGTGCCTCGGCTCGGATCTCTTGAACCTAGTACCGCTCCCTATCAGTCCCACTTGTTTCCTCCACGCGTACAGTTGGAACTCCCCAGCCATTACAATGTGTAAGTCTCGGTGCTACGCTGTTGTCTCAACCCCACCCCTCAGGCACTACTTTTCCCAAACGGCCGACCGATATGGCTCGGCCATACTGCTACTCTCAAACCGTAACTGTGTAGTTCTGATGGATTCTGAAGGGTCTATGTTGAATAGGCCCTGCGATTGCAACCAAAAAACTGCCCATAGGGGGATCCAAAGAAAAGAAGAATCAAGAATGCTGACAGGGTGCGCAAAGAATGCTTTGCATAGGCGGCTTGGATGTAGTAGTTGCGGCATCTACGCTCCAGTCGCAATGATTCCGCTTCTCACGGCTGCCTCTCAACCTGACGCAGCGTTCAGCGAGTCGACGCGTTGCAATTGCAATATCGTTTCATTGCTAGAGAGGCGAAGGCAGCCGCAGACGGGAACCAATCGGCGCTGGCCGCTTGAGCTTGGAGAGTATAGGACAGCAGGAGATCAGCCCCCGCTTTTACACAATCTGATACCCTTCCATTCTCCCATACTCTCTTAAAACACAAGCGGGCGGCGCCGAAGTTCCCATCTGCGGCTGCGCTCGCGTCCAGCATCGGAGCAATGTTGCAGCTGTGGCGTGTCGTCGTGTGTCGACTCGCGTCATCGCGAAGTCTAACGCTGCCTGAGAGCGATAAACTTGTCTTTTACAAACAAGTAAGTGTAGTGTCAGTGGCACAACACATACAAACTCAACTGAAATGTGTTCTGTAAACTGTAATTTATGTAAACTGTAATTCAATAAACGTATAAATTGCTTTGCATGTTTGTTGTAATGTAATGCTTTAGTGTAATTGTCACATGTGACTGTTTGTAGCTTGTGGCTGTTTTGTCATATAGTCACTTCCACATGTGAAAGTCGAACGACAAATCTTTTATCAAAGCATGAAATCACAACAAACTGATACTCTGAATTATTGAAATGTATTAATATTCTCACAAACCGTCTACTTCCCCGGAATCCCCCACGAGAACCTCCTCGTGGTGGGCCTCCGGCACCATTTTTCAACCTTCCTTCTCCGCTACCATTCACATGTTCGTCCGCGATGGCAGTCGCAATAGGCAACTTCACAATATACGGAGTGGTTTAAAATGAGAAACGCTCTTAAGAAAAGTCCAGAAAAGAGCTCGAAAAAAGGAATGCGCTGCACAGAACGGCGACGATAGGGTGGAGGCGCGGCACTTCGCCACGTACACTTCTCCCTTCCGAGCCCTCAATTCGAGACCTGTGAAATCTTGTGTAGCCATGAAATGATCCCAGTCAAAAGGTGAGATCATCTTTTGTAAAGAGTCCCGCCAGCTCTTTTGAGACCGCGTTCAGACTTCGTGATCGCGCGATTGGATCGCTCGACTGGACCACGACCGGGGCGCTCCATCTCCAAACGGCACAATCAAACTGGCACACAGTGTGAGCGCGTAACATTCTGATTTCTGCCGTTGCGACGGCGCCACTTGGCGCTTGGAGTCCCCCTGGTGCGCGATCCAATCGAGAGATCCTATCGCGCGATCGCGAAGTCTGAACGCAATCTAAAGCAATACTAGGTTTTGATGGAGTGAAAGTGTAAGCCAGAACTAGTGAAGCAGCGAAAGCGCAAAATCCCCTCTCTCCTCGTCGTCAAACTGTGTCGAAATGCCTTCCTAATCAAACATTACCTTTCCAAGTGGGCTCACAACAGGAGTATGGTTAACAAGTGCGAGAGCCTCATTCGCCTTCTCGATAGATTCCATTTCGACAGTCCCTGATGACGATCGTTCACTTCGCCCAGCAAAAACTGTTACCGCTTTTATCTCAGGAGCTTCTTTCTCGGCAAACACCTGAACAAAAAAAATGATAAAATGGAGCAGCCTCAGTAGTGACCTTATAAGGAGTAGAGTATTCAAATGATTAATAAATAATAAACAACTAGAAGAGAAACACTCGCCTGCCTAATTTTCTCCTCATCCATATTAACGGGAGCATTGTACCAATGCAGCGTTTTCGTGGGGTATATGAGTCGATTACGGGCAGCGGCATCAGGTGTAGAGAAGCGTTGTAGGGCGGACATAGAATAATCACGGAACGATGGGGAGCCATCAGGTAGATCAAAGGGATCTCTGAAGTTACCGGCTCAATACAACATTCCCATCAACGGTAGAATTACCAATAATAACTCTACATTTATTGACCCTTGGCGGTAAGGAAATAAGTAAAATAGGCTGCATTCACACTTTGCGTCAGCATCCTCAGCGTTTCGACGCGACGCAATCACCAGCGGCCAATATAGATCATCGATCTTAGCGTCTGCTAGACTTCGTCAAGCCCAAACTACAGCCTGACAGCGGAGTAGAGGGAATGGGGAAGCAGGAGGGAGCAGACAGCTAAAACAGGCGTCGTGAAATTGCGGAATGTGCATCGCACTGTACGACAGCCCTACACCGTGCATCAGGATTGCATGATTCTGCGCTCCAGCAGCCGTGCACTGCGGTTGCACCCGCTACAATTCCACGATGCCTAATCCAGCCGTCTGCTACCCTTCTACTTCCCCATACCTCCACTTCCGGACGCTGCTGTACGATGAAAAATGCTGGTGGACGGTCGTTCGCTAGATCATTTTCTACACTTTCCTAACTTTCCTAATCGTTGGTGCTGGACTACGCTCGAAACGCTGGTGATGAACGCAACAGTTCAGAGGACAATAGCCCGACAAAGGCCTGTCGATATGTGTTCTCCTGCCCGAGGCAAATGATCCCCTCTTAAAGCTATGCCCTCTGCCGCCCAAACGTTGCAAAGGATTTTGAAAAACAATCCTTGATCTAAAAATTAGACCAAAACGGACACGGCCTAATCCCGACGTACACTAGCCAGCCTCGACAATATTAACCAAGCGACAAATTTTGATAAAAGCGCGTTGCACCCTCGCCTTCTCTCACAATAAAAATCTGCCAAATATGAATTCCCGGCTGTTGGATGCCTTCAATAAGAGCAGCATAGCGCTCTCAATCGGCTTTATTTATTACCAGCCATCATCTTCAAAAGTCTAAAGAAGAAGTCATCGCAGCTGATCAATCCATATTTGGGATGCGGCGCGCATCCTACTCCAATCCATAATCTGTGTGAAGTGGCTTACTGAATGCAAAGTGGCCCCATATGATGGTTGCGAAGGAGAGCCATTGTACGAGTTAATGGTCTTACCCTAACAGACGAATCTGGTACCAGTTTACCGCCCCAGGAGGATAGGACGTTTGGTTGGCCCGGGTGGGAGCCGATCCGGGATTGATCCCTGCAGCCCGTGCGCATCAGCGTTGCATAAGTGCTGCGCCTCTGCCGCTACACCACTCGCAAGCTCCATCAGCGCCTACCAGCACGAATAAATCTACCATATGATGACTTACGTCACCTTTTGTCTTTTTTCTTTCCCAACAGGGGGCAGGGGGCCCCTTGTAAAGGGGAGCACCGAGGGTCGTACTAAAAAAAAATTTCGATGGTTCGTTGTATTTTGCACATTTTGTCCTAAACAGCTGGACATGCCCTGTTTGTCACGAACATTCGATTGGTGTGCATGGCATATCATTGGTTGGGGATTTTGGTCGAGACCGTACCACCCTCCGCCCTTTTTTTAGGTTTGGTACGACCCCCCCCCTCCGGCCCTCTGTCCCTCCTCACCGAATCGAGCCGTCGAGCGAGGGGGTAGGGGTGGGGGGAGAGGTAAATAGCACATGTGAAACAGGAAAAGCCGCAAGACAATACCCCCTTCCTACCAATTCTCAGATTTTCCCCAACTTCCTGCCACTTTTCCAAAATTTCCCGAAAACTTCCCTACTTTTTCCCAAAAATTTTGCTGTCGAGCGGGGGATATATAGTACGCATGAAACAGGAAAATCACGAAAAGTCACCACTCCTAAAGGCCAAAAAGTAAATACGACCCCCCTCCCAACAATGAGCAAGTACGACCCCCCCCCTTTACAACGTCCGTGAAGCGAGAAAAATCAACTATCAAATAAATTTTTCTCAGCCCAAATACGACCCCCTCTCCTGGCGGCCAAATACGACCCCCCTGTTGGGGATTCCCCAACTACAATGTGTCCTGTTGGTGTGACTGGCACATTTCTGTGGATGTAAAACAGCCCGCCTTATAGCTGAAGGACTACGATCATGGGTCGTTAAAACCTTCGGTCTGGAACTAGTTAGTGAGCTACTGAAACATGGTCTTCACCTTTGAATAGCATCAGTAATTACTTTCAAGTGTTTGATTCCAGCAGAAGTTGAGAGTGACGGTCCTACGCAATGGAAGGGCTGTTCCGTCTCGAAATCTACCCAAAACGTTGGTCAGGAAACGGTATTTTGGGTTGCGGAATTGTCCCAGTGACAACTTCCGATGTGCTCTAAGTGGTCTGCAATCTGTGATGTAATATACATTAAAAGAATATAGCTGTTAAAGAAACAATCATAATCTGCTGTGACTTTCAATAGCCGGTAGCCAGTTGCACGATGTTGAATTCATCTTTTATTGTCTTTTTACTACCGGTAATTGTACCTATAATGCCTACTCACTTGTTTGTGCTGTTTTACAGAGTGCTTTATCCATTTATGCACATAATAAAATTTTGAATTATTGAATGTTTGAAAGAAGAGGTGCCATATTTTCCGATACGTTTCCGTTTAACTTGATGTTTATGAAGTAGCTGACTTTGTTGTGAAAATAACTAGTTAGAGGGCTTTCATGCTTAGCGGCTCGAGCGAATACGACAGGTGGCGCTTCACCGCTAATCATTGGACTGCTGCAACTTCTTATTCGATCAATTCCAGAATTAGATATCTCTGTCAGTTTATCTATAAGTGTCAGCAGCTTAGTGCAGGAGCAAGAATTTATGGCAGAAAGTTGAGATTTGCAGGTGTGGTTGAATTAGAATTCGCAGCAGTCCAACGATTAGCAGAGGAGCGAAGCTCAAGTCGCGAAGTTATGAACGCAATGTTAGAAGAGATAGGAGACCTTTAGAGAGAGACTGAAAGGATTCTTTCGCGCAATTCAACACGACGGCTGCTTGCTCCATTAGATGCCCAGTTAAAAAAATGGTGAAACATCCAGGGCTGTCCAATCTGCTGTTGGATGGGCCATGATCGGAGTCGTAGAGTAATTCTGGAAGCAATTTGACCAATACGACTGGCGAGGCCAGGCGATATACAAGTCAGAGTTTTTCCTCTCTTTAAATGAGTCCCAACTGACCGATCCTGGAGGGACAAAACGCGTGCTCGACTGAGGGGAGGGATCCGATTCAAGATTCGAAACCCGTGCCATAATACACATTTTGCAAATACATTACCTTTATCGGATGGATTAGCTCGAGAGATGAACAATCATCCCAAAACGCTTGGTGGTCGTAGTATATGAATGTCGTGCGTGCGGTTGTGACGCGGTCAGCTGCGCTCCATCCCGTGGGAAGTTGTGTTCATTGAGACTTATTTTATTATTAGGTCTCATTATGGTGAAAGCTGTCAATCATGTGAAGCTCATGAATCATGTGAAAAGTGCAAATGAGGAAATTTGTTTGTAAGAGTTTTCATGTTTCTACAAGGTGGCTTGTACAGGCTTTGTTGAGTACCAGCTGCTGTCCCCACCAACTGTGCTCAATCCTATTCATTTTTGAAGATGACGATACTGGGGTGTTTTCAAGGAGGTTACGTTAATGAGACAATCTTTTTCAGTTTTCATGGACAAAGGATTGTTGTCTCATGAACCATGGTTACGTAAGTACGACCATCTTATTGGTGGTTTTGCAGGAGGTGTAGTGAGTACAGCAGTATGCCATCCGATGGACCTACTCAAGATTCGCTATTCAGGTAGAACTAAGATTTTGGACCCCATGAATTTAGGTTGAAAAGTAGCAGTCACATGTGCTATAGTTGGGAGGGGCAGAAAGCAGAAGGAGGTCCCGGTCATTCTCTGTTCAGCTGCACTCTCTGAGGTTAAGGTCGTTATGAAGGGGCTCATTAGATGTAAACACAGTCGTGTTGCAGCCCGTACTCCATAGATCGCAGGGCTGCCGAGCGACCAGATTTGGTGGAGAACAGGCTAGCGCTGCTCCAAACCCAGCACTTCTCCTCCCCCCCCGCATCCACCACTCC